GAGCCACCCAAGCGCCCCGGCTTTGTCCCTTTCATTCTGGTTATCGTTTGTCTTGCCGGCATTTATGGTAAAGATTAGCAGCTGATATCACTCAGGCCTTGGTTTCTCTCATTTTGTTCAGAGTGGTGGTATTTCCTGGCTGACTTGGCTTTCCAGGTCTTTGACAGGTTCTTCTATGGTTGCCTCCTACCTGAGGCGTATCGCCTCTTTATCACTGCCGGCTTCAGCTAGGCACTGAGCTCTCAGCTCCGTCCGTTGGCATTGTTCTGTCATCTCTAGGATGGGTCAGGAATTTAGGCTGGTCTTCAGGATGTGGTTTTCAAGGACTACCAGTTGGAAAACAAGAGGATGGAGAAGGCATACTTGCTTCTTTCTACCTCTGCCTGGAAATAGCGTATATTACTTCCTCTTATATTCTATGGGTGAGAATACTGGGAACGTAAATGCGATCTGAATCTTAATCTTTTATCATTTATTTTGCTCCATGATCTTAGACAATTTATAATATACTGGACATATTTTTATAATATACTGGACATGGTAGTATCTCAGGGGCTTGTTAGAAAGATTAAATTTATAATTTTGAATGTTTTTTGAACCTTTGACCTGCCCTCTTCACCTTCTAAAGCCCCTCCACTTATTCTGCGTCCACTGTTCTCCTGTCCACTTAGAGTAATTTTCATTAAGGTACTGCTTTTTTTTTTTTAACACTATGTTTAGCATAATGCCTGAAATGTAGATACACAATAAATACCTATATTTATTTTGTTTGCTGAATAAATGTCAGACAAGTAAAAGTAAAAATGAAGAAAATTATACTTAATCTTACTCTGGAGAAATAACTTATTAGCATTTTGGCATATTCTTTTTCTCATCCTCCTCCTCCTTAAAATTATTTTACAAAATTATTTAACAAATTCATTTAGGTATTTTCTTTCTTATTAAGCAATATTTTATAAAGCATCTTTCCTTGTCAATAAATACATATTTTCATAATTTTTAATGCTTTATAAATGCTCAAATTTAGTGTATGTGTAGCATTCCACTAAGTGTGTCAAAAATAATTTATTTAGGGGGCACTGGGTGGCTCTGTCAGTTGGGTGTCCAACTTCAACTCAGGTCAAGATCTCACAGTTCGTGAGTTTCGAGCCTTGCATTGGGCTCTGTGCTGACAGCTCAGAGCCTGGAGCCTGATTCGGATTCTGTGTCTCCTCTGTCTCTGCTCCTTCTCTGCTCACACTCTCTCTGTCTCAAAAATAAGTAAATGTTAAAAAATTAAAAGAATAATTTAATTGATAATTTTCTTGAATTTTCAGATGTTTCTTATTTTCCTTTTTTATAGTAAGTTTCAAATAATATCCATGTACACACATTTAAAAAAATCTATGTTTGTTTGCTCCATTATTTTGTTAGGAAAAATTCCTAGAATTGGGATTTCTGAGTTAAAGGATATGCAAATTAAAAAAAAATTTGCATTTATTCATATTTGAGAGAGAGAGAGACAGAGAGTGAGGGGGAGAGGGACAGAGAGAGAGGGAGACAGAGAATCTGAAGCAGGCTCCAGGCTCTGAGCTGTCAGCACAGAGCCTGATGTGGGGCTCAAACTCATGAAGCATGAGATTATGACTTTAGCCTAAGTCAGATGCTCAACCAACTGAGCCACCCAGGTGCCCCAAAGGATATGCAAATTTTGGACTTGCTATTTATTGCCAATTTGTCTTATGAACTTTGATTTTTCAACTTGAAGAAATATTCATTTCTTAAAAAGCAGACTTTGACCCATTAATTGGGAGAATCTATCCTATAGAAATAACAGTGATTTTATGTAAACATATATATAAATATTTATGGGGCTTTACTTGGAGTTCCAAACCCAGTTCCAATGTGTGTGTGTGGGAGGGTTTCCACACACCAACGGGCTTTTCTCTGGACACCAGCTGGGTGTCCTGCCATTCAGCTCAATTCTGACAGTGTCTACACAAATGCAGCATTAGATTCCACAGGTTAAGGGTTCAGTCCTACAAGACTTCCCTCTGCCCCCACCCACTTTAGATGCGAATTGCAAACCCAAGTTATTACCTATAATTCTGACTGACTGGCAATAAATCAGAGGTTCCCATGATACCCTCCTTCGGTTCAATTAATTTGCTAGAGCAGCTCACAGAACTTTGGGAAAACATTTGACTTACTAGATTACTGGTGTATGATAAAAGGATGCAACTCAAGAACAGCCAAGAAGGAAGAGATTCATAGCTAGGCATGGTGTTCCCCAACCTGGAAGCTCTTTGAATCCAGTCTTTTTAGATTTTTATGGAGGCTTCATTTCACAGACACAAATGATTAAATCAGTGGCCATGGGTGATTGAACTCAACCTTCAGCCCCTCTCCCCTCCCCAGAGGTGGGGGAGGGAGGCCAGTGAAGTGGGACTGAAAGTTCCAATCTCTAATCACTTTGGCTGACTCCCTTGTAGCCAGGTCTCATTCTTAGGAGGTATCCAAAAGTTACCTTATTAGCATAACAAAAGACACTTTAACAATCTCAATATGTAAGAAATTCCAAAGGTTGTAAGAGCAATGTGCCAGAAATAGGGACAAAGACCACATATATATGTCTTATTACAAATTACAATATCATAGGCTCATAGCAGCAAATAGCTGAAATCAATGTGAATGATCAAAAATAATAAAAAGATTGAATAAATGTGGATCATCCATGTTACATATTTGTCACCACTAAAAATATCTATATTGAGTATGTTGAGGTTCATGATACTGTTGAGAAGTACAAATTGCAGAGTCGTGTGCATGGTAATGTAAAACCAAAAAGCAAAAAAATACACATATGTAATCACACTATATGTTTTATATGTATTTTATTTGTTTGAACATAGAACTAGTTCTGAAAGGGTATATTCAGATTTTTGAAACTGTATCTTAGGCACTGTATATGAATATATCTTTGTATCGTTTCACATGCTATAATGGAAAAGTTTTACTTTTTTTTTTTTTAAAGTTTTACTTTTGAATTAAAAAGTTAATAATAAAACTAAAGAAAAAAAAAACCCATAACACTTACAAACTGCTCTAACTTTTCTGCAAACTGTTTTCCTAAACCAGAAAGGTTCCTGTAGTCCCCAGAGGAATTTCAGGGCTTTGAAGAGTGTGCCTTGAAGTCAGGACAACTTTTATAGTTAACTTAATTGGGATATTATTTTACACAAGGTAACAGCTAAACTATTGGGATTTCTTCAGTTATTGATGTTCTCAGAGGTAATCATTCTCAGAAAGGCTGTTGAAAATATAGTCAGTTCATATCCTGGCCTGGATCGTGTCAAACATCACTTTTTCAGAAGGAGGAATAGAGGTTGAAATGGCAAAAGTGTATCAATTTAGGAAATTGTTTTCAGAAATAATCTATAATTTTCAATAGATGAAAGGAAGGAACAAATTTTGTTGGTAGCTAAAAATGTAGAATCAAATAGGGTGGAAATAACAGGGTATAGCTAAATGTGTGCTCTTGGTAGCTCACTAGATTTCTAGAGATTTTGATTGGAAATTTTGCCTTTCTAATGGAGAGCAAGGGAAAAAAAACTTTGTATGTCTTAGGCATTTTATGGCCTGGTAACACTAGACAAAAATCATTTTAAAATTAGAAATTTTCGTAATTTAGGAAACCAAAGTAAAATAACTACTGTACTTTATTTAGAAAAGTAAAATTTGTTATTGGTCATGGATAAGATCTTGATAGTTGAAAGCCCCTGAACAGAGATGATGACACAGTAACTTAAATATAATAGGTGGTCATTTTATAAATGTGAACAAATGGTATTTTGAAAATATTGCAAATACTTCCTGGGAATCTGTGCTTATACTTGATGAGCCAATAAACAAAATATATTTGAATTAAGTTATATATGCTAATTGTAAATGCTAATCATAATGCGAGTTATAGGTAAGTTTGTCAAACATAATTAGATCAGGGGTCTGAACACTATAATGTTAATATTATTTTAAAAGGGGTATACTTTAGATACATGTATAGTGTCATCCAAAGCATCTGCTGAAATTATTCTATTCCTGTAAGAGTCTCGGAATTGAAACTTTACTATAATTTCAACATGTCAAGAATAAGTGTTAAAGAATAAGGCAGATTCTATTTTATATTTTCTAAAACTTTATAGGATTTTTTTAACATTTTATTTAATGTCAATGAAATTGAATTTTGAAATGTAAATGACAAATTTGCATGATGGTTATTGGTGATCATCATATATTTCAGTATATGACTCCCTTGCTCCCATTGGTGAGGTCAGTGGGAGTGCCATATCACTCTGAAGCAGGCTTTTACCAGCTGTCCTTGTGCAGGTCTCAAAGTATAAATAAATATGGTTTTGCTATTGGTGAGGTGAGTGCATCAGTGTGTATAGCTAAGAGAGGTGCAGAGAGGTGCAGTTCCTACCTCCTTCTCACTTGGGGTCTGATATGGGCTGTGGCTTCTCTACAGTTTGGATTCTAAATCATTGTACCCACTTACTGTGAGAGTCCTGACTCCTATCTGCATATTTATTTCGTCAGTGTATATTTTATCAGCATGCACAGTTGAAGACATTCATTTATTCAAGTTTATGTAACTCAGCTAACTTAATTTGTTTCTGCTGCATTTGGGGTAATCTATCCCCAGGCCTTTCTGTGTTATCTTGAATAATTGAGAGCCTGCTGGTACACAGAGCCACATTGCTACAGAGCTGCTGCTAAGCTTCCAAGAGGCTCCCTTCACTTGAGCAAGATGGAAAGTGATTCCAGCTGGCTGGAAAAAAGATACATGAAGTCTGTAATAGACCCTTAGGAAGGAAATCTGTTTCCATCAAGACAGAAGAATGATTCATGTGTAAGAAATATAAACTAAAGACTCCTTTGAGTCATTGGAGTGTCTGTAATATTTTTCTAGTAGCATTTTTCCCCCTTTACTTCATCAGCTTTTTACTAGGAGACTTTCTAAATCTTAGTCTTCTCATTTATAAAATGCAGTGATAATACCTGCCTTCAATTCTACAATTTTTTGAAGATCAGTTAGGGGGATGTGAAGTTTCCTATAAATCATAAATGTATATGACACTGTAAGGCATTGTTTTCTTTCTTCATGTGTTTTCTTTCTTTGCATTTTTAAAAATTACTTGTCATAACTAATTGAACTATATAATGTTACTTAAAAGAATAACATAACCAACCACGTTACATGGTTAGAGGACTTTTTTTTAAATTTATTTTCTCACAAACTTGAATTTGTATCCTTTTTATTTTTCTTGTGCAGAGAAAAATATCAGCCTGTCAATTACTCATGTCCAATCTCAAAATTATATTTCAGAATTAAGTAGGTGAGCCTTTGCAGAAGCTTGGGAGACATGAGGAATTACAGATGAATGCCAGCTCCTTCTGGGTGTGTGATTCCTAAAGAAAACGTTATGTTGCCTGATCTCAGTTAGTGGTGCCAGTGAGTGTAACTGGGTGCAGGGGTCCCTGAAGACTGGCCTGCAGACCCAGGGACAATGCTTTTTTTCTTCACCCATTTTCCACCAAGCCAGAGCCGTGTGACCTCTTGGTGCTGCAGTTTCTCAACGTGATTGTATTTCACTGCTCTCGTAAACACATCTTGTAAAAGAAACAAGGTTGTCTTTTAAACTTGTGCTCCTGCTAGACAAGAAAAATAAAACCCAGTCAGTCTCCTTTCAGGACCTTTTCATTTAATGAGAAGTCAAACCTTTTCATTTTTGTTAAGAATGCTTTTGTATCAAGTTCCCATTTTTCATGTAGAAATACAATATATTATGAAGAGAGGACTGATAGGCCATTTATACTTTTGCTATCTGTGATTCTGAAAGTTCTAACTAGCAGAATTGGTTAAATAGAGAATTCTAAAACCCATAATTATGAGATGTTTATTAAATCCACTTAAAACAATTTTTTTTAAGGGGCACCTGGGTGGCTCAGTTGGTTAAGCGTCCCACATTGGCTCAGGTTCTGATCTCATGGTTTGTGAGTTCGGGCCCTGTGTCAGGCTCTGTGCTGGCAGCTCAGAACCTGGAGCCTGCTTTGGAGTCTGTGTCTCCCTCTCTCTCTGCCCCTCCCCTGCTTGCCGAGTCTGTCACCCTCTCTCTATCTCTATTTTTGAGAGAGAAAGAGAGAATGCCAGGGGAGTAGGAGCAGAGAGAGAGGGGAGACAGAATCCTAAGCAGCTTTGCACTGTCCGCTCAGAGCCCGACATGGGGCTCAAACTCATGAACCATGAGATCATGACCCGAACCCAAACCAGGAATCGGATGCTTAACCAACTGAGCCACCCAGGCACCCCATATCAATTCCACTTTTTACTTTTATTTTTTTAATCTACTTTTTAAATGCACTTTGAAAAAAATTATACATGCGACATGTACCATTCATCTTTTGTATGTGAGAGTTGCAACTTTTGGTCTAATTACACTTCCCTATGTATTTTTTGCTTGGCTGTGTCAGTAAAATATATTATTAAATATGGCTAGGATTTATTTTATTTTATATCTATAGGTAATTCGTCAGTTCAAAGATGATTGACATGAAGAGAATTTAGACCAGTTATTTTCATCTGATTTTCATATGATTTATAGCAAGAGAATATTTGTGCATTCTTTTAAGTCAGTGGTAAGCATGAGAAAAAAACCTACTTGCAGTTTTGCTTGTACATTGAATGTTTAGTTTTTTAATCAGAAATTAAGTTTAGTGCCAAGTGAAATAGGTTAGATTTCTCTAGACGTGCATTGTCCAATACAGTAGCAATTAGCCCTATGTGGCTCTTAAGCGTTTGAAATGAAGCCGGTGTGATTGAGATGTATAGGAAGTGTAAAATGTACACCAGAATGAATACAAAGAAAATATGTCAAGTATTTCACTAATTTAATGTTTTGTTAATCATTTTTATATTGATTGCATCTGGAAAGATTTTGGATATATTGATTAAGTAAGATATATTATTAAAATCCATTTCACCTTTTCTTTAGCTTTTTAGTGTGATTACGGGAACATTTGAAATTGCACATGAGACTCTCATTATGCTTCAGTTTATCAAGTTACCTTACCCCTGATTTTGAGAGCAGTTGAAAAAGGTTTGCGCTTTATGGAAGCATACGTTTTTGTTGTCTCACATCACACATTGTGTTAGAATTACTTTAAGAGCTTGCTCATCTCTTAGAGGTTTCCTTTATAAAAAGGCGATCTTGAATTCACTTTGGGTCGGGGAGAATAAACAGGTAGCTTAGCTGTGTGTATAACGAAAGCTCTTCTTCTTAGGGATAGAGCACCGTCTTGTGGAATGTACTGAATACAGCAGTTTATGCAATGATTAGCTGGAAATTTTAAGATCTCGGAATAGGCAAATTGTTTATGTCAGACATTTGGAGAAGAAAACTAAAACTAACAGTAAAGATGTTCACTTCTCCGTAGCATGTGTTTTCATTACCAGAGTATGAGACAGTGCAGTAAGAACATTTTGATTTGGTGTGCTTTTTAGAAAATAGAAAGGCCTCATTCAGGTCTTTGTATTATTTTTTTCCCTCAAATTTCTGAGGTTTTTGTGTTTCATTATAAAAGGAAGCAAGGTTCCATATTTTGCCCCTTTTTCTATGTAAAAGTTGAGTGTATTTAAATTATTTAATCCATACAAATAAGCTTCATTAGATACATGAGGAAGAAAAGGTATATCAACAGTCATATTACATTTTCTCAAGAATTGTTTTAGTTATTCTGGAGACAAGCATTTTATTTTTATTTATTTATTTATTTTTTCAATGTTTTTATTTATTTATGGGACAGATAGAGACAGAGCATGAACGGGGGAGGGGCAGAGAGAGAGGGAGACACAGAATCGGAAACAGGCTCCAGGCTCCGAGCCATCAGCCCAGAGCCTGACGCGGGGCTCGAACTCACGGACCGCAAGATCATGACCTGGCTGAAGTCGGACGCTTAACTGACTGCGCCACCCAGGCGCCCCCTGGAGACAAGCATTTTAAAAAGGGAAACATTGTCTAAAGAATCTTGTTCATGTATTTTTTGTTATTTTTGTTTCTTCTTGATGTATTATATATACATACATGGATTAAGTATTCAAATCATACCTCTTTACCACTATATTTCATTTCAAAGTCTGCCAAAAATAACTGCCAAATCACTGAGCTCTTAATACTGAGAACAGAATAGACTTCTCGCGATTTAGAATTTCATTAATCAAGTCCATCAAAACAATTAAGGCCAATATCCAGCCAATCAGCTAAACAAAATTCTCCAAAGCATTTACTGCCTTTTCAGACTCACTTAAGAAAGAGTAGTTCTGAGAATAGTTATAAGAGAATGGATTAGTTGGATCTCCCTTTCGTGTGGAGACCCTGGCAGCCCATTTCTAAAATTGTATGGCTTTATACATATTACTTTCCTTGGAATCCAACAATCATATGAAAAACAATCCTGATTGGTTTTCATAACGTAATATAGATGCCAGGGCAGAACACATGAAACCAAGGAGCTAGCCAACCAAATCTGTCCTACGGAAGGAAACATGGTAAGATTGACCTGTTGACCTACTCCATTAGTAAAAGGCGCTACAATGTACCCATATTGACAGCAAAGAGCTAAAATAATTGTTTCATTCTTATGAAAACATGACTAGCCTATTGCTTATTAGTTAAAAAGCTTTCATGAGCTTCTTGGGGACTTTTACATAACTATTTAATATTCCGTTGCATTACTATGATTTGTTAGATAAATAAATTCTGAACTGGATTAAAAAAGCCACTCAAACCCACTTTCCCAAAAAGTCGTTTTTTATAATTTACAGTGTTAGTTTTAATGATAACGATTTTTTCAGTTCTCTTTAGCACTTCCAGAAATCTATGCTAGTTTCATGGCCTCCAGTAAAGGTTTCTGTTGCTGAGATGCTGAGAGATCTTGACCCAGTGTCCTCCTGGAGAGAGGACCATGTTTTTGTAGGGATGTATCCATTCAAGTGGAATCTTCCAAACAACCATCTTGGCCATCTCCCATGTTCTTGCTCCACTCCTGTTGTTTTAGTTTTCCTATCCCCCCCATTTATGAAAGTAAGGCAGTGTGCCAAAAAACACCTCATGGCTTAGCAGCAAACATGGTCACTTGAGAGCGGGGTGGCCACATGGCCTCTTTTGGTGTGAACAATTCAGCTTTGTGTGTATTTGTCCTAGTCAAGCCTGGCTCTGTAAGCACATTGTCTGAGATCAAGGTGCCCCACACCCAGGTAGGCTTGTTGTCAACACATGAGCTTCAAAGAGAACAGGATGCGACTTCCCTCCCTACTGTTCATTTGATCTTAATAGAGATTTAAGGGTGTCACCTATTTTCATTGATGGGTTGAATGGCTGCATCTGCTGTTACTCTCTCCCAAAGCAGGAATCAGCGCTGCTCCTTGAGACAAAGCTAGAATCCATTACTTAATGGAGATTCCTAGGAGAAAAGGTTATTTCGTGTTTTGTAAATAGCTGTTCCTTAGAGAGGGCAATGATTAATGCAGGCTGAGCACAAAAAATATACTTTTCTTCCTGCTATTTCCTGCAGTGTACACAAAACCGATTTAAAACAAATTCTTGCAGGTTGTGATGATAGCATCATGAAAGATTAAACAGCGGGAGGGCAGAATTTGGTGGGAAATACAGGGGATTTTACAAGCAACTAAACCAAATATGTTCCTTAAAAAGGTGCAACCGGAGTCCTCTTTGGGTTTCATCTGTTTTGTGGCCATGCCTTTCAGCCAGTGCAAATGTGGGATCTTAGAATCTCAGAACAGGGGCCCCTTCTGTAGGAGAGACAAACACTCTGACTCCACCAGCTCTGATGTGCTGCTTCTCACTGCAAGGCCTGGAGGGCAGGAAGGGGCAGCAGAAGTTACACTCACCGGGGATCTGATTGAGGACTGTGGTAGCTCCAATACCCAGGAAAAGACCTATCCACTCAGAAGCAGCAGTGATGAGAAGACAGTTCCATAGACTAGGTATGGAAGCAAAGTGGGTATGGAATTACAGATTAGATTGTATTCCTGGAGGTGAAACCATTTGTTTCTTTTGCAGCAAAGGTCATATCAGGTGTTACGGGTACCTTCCCTCTGCTCTCCATTGCAGCCTATGTCTCTAAGATGGCCCCATGTGTCTTTGTATAGCTGGTATTTCAGAGATAGCCTGTATTTGGAGCCACCCTGTGGAAGGAGAGTAAAGCAAAAGAGATCCTATAGAATAATACAAGCACCTAGATCTAGCAGAAAAGTCAAGTTCAGGGGCGCCTGGGTGGCTCAGTCGGTTAAGCATCCGACTTTGGCTCAGGTCATGATCTCACGGCTTGTGGGTTCGAGCCCCAAGTTGGGCCCTATGCTAACAGCTCAGAGCCTAGAGACTGTTTTGGATTTTGTCTCTTTCTGCCCCTCCTTGCTCATTCTCTGTCTTTCTTGCTCTCTCTCTCTCTCTCAAAAAATAAATAAACATTAAAAAAATAAAAAAGAAAAATCAAGTTCAAATATTGGTTCTGCCACTTAATAGATGTGTAACCTTGGGGCCTGGGTGGCTCAGTCAGTTAGGTGTCTGACTCTTGGTTTTGGCTCAGGTCATGATCTCACAGTTTGTGGGTTCAAGCCCCATGTCAGGCTGTGTGCTAAGACTGTGGAGTCTGTTTGGGATTCTCTCTCTCTCCCTCTCTCTCTGCCCCTCTGCAGCTTGTGCATGGGCCCTCTCTCTCTCAACATAAATAAATAAACATGAAAACAAATAAAAAAAGCATACTTAAAAAGATAAATGTGTAATCTTGAACAATTTACTTACTTTCTCTGAGCATCACCAGCTTCATATCTGCAAAGGGGACATAGTACTTACCTCATAGTTTTGAGGATTAAATGAAATATAATAATTTTACCTGGCATGTTGTAAATGCTCAATAAGTGTTAAGTTACTATTATGTATGAGACTCTATATAGTATGAATAATACTTTCTCATACCTTATTGATCAGATATGTCATCCATTAGCCCAACAAGTGTTTTATAAATGCAAGCTATACATTATTAGGAGTTTACATCATCAGTACAAATGAATGGCTACTACAGGAAAGTATCTCTAAACTCATGTTCCATTGATAATAAATGGAGAGAAGGGAAGTGATACTTGCTGAGCTCTTACCGTGTATTTTTTTGTGCATAATCTTAGTTTATTATTATACGAACTTAGTAAGATCAGTACTATTATGTTTTCTGTAATAATGAAGAAACCAAGGATGGAAGAATTTAAGTTGCCCAAGTTCATGTAGTGGCACTGGAATGGTTTTGTTTCAAAGCAGGATTTATGCCTTTTCTCCTTTCATTTTCTTAATAAACAACTTTTGGGGGGTATGCTATAATTACTTTTCTGAGATTGTGAAGATAGCAATACATAGATTCATTTACATTTCAATCTTGGAACAACAGGTAAATCTTTCACCTCCCAAGCAACCATTGGACTACGGCCATTGAGGAAGGGAGCATGAGGTTGGGGAAGGCAGCTCTCTTTAGAAAAGGATGAATCTTGGAAGGAGCTGAAAAGCTGTCTGCTAAAAACCTTCCCAGCAGCTTGGGAAATAAGTCCACCTGTCGTGAGGGGGAGGATCTGGGATATGTAGCCCAGCATCCATGACACCTTGTGTGATATGTAATTCAGAAAAAGGAGGAGAGTAACATTTAATGTAGGAATATAGATTAATTTTCAGTGTTCTGTTTTCAAAGCAGTTACAAAATAAACTGAAGCTTAAGTTTTGGTGTATTTCTTCCAAGTGCTAACAGTTCTCTCTGCCGCTTTTACACAAAGTTGACTGTTTCCACACTTTGGTCTGGACTCTAACATCACTATTGACAATCTGTGAATAAATTTCACCTAACGTAGCGACAAACTCCTTTTCTCTTATAGAGAGAAATTTTTATGTACGTACGTACTGCCATTTTAGATGGGTTTAAGGTAAAAGTAGTGTCTTTCTTTTTCTGTACGTACGTACTGCCATTTTAGATGGGTTTAAGGTAAAAGTAATGTCTTTTTCTTTTTCATCAGATTTTAGGCCTAGAGATAAGAAATTTATCCAAGAGTTATTTTCTTTTTTTAAATTATGTTTATATATTTATTTTTTGAGGCAAGGAGAGGGAGACAGTGTGCATGCAAGCCAGGGAGGGGCAGAGAGAAAGGGAGAGAAGGAATTCCAAGCAGGCTCCATGCTGTAAGCTCAGAGCCCAATGTGGGGCTCGAACCCATTAACCGTGAGATCACGACCTGAGTCGAAACCAAGAGTCAGACGCTCAACTGGTTGAACCACCCAGGCTCCTCTGACGGTTATTTCTTATGAATGCTATTAAAGAAGGCATTGATTCAATTCAGTTCAATTAGGCATCATGTTAATATGTATTTAAAAGATATTTTAATTTTTTTTTTAATCTGAAGAGGAGATCTGGGTGGGAAGACACTGCTTTATTTTTGTTACCCTTTTGTTGATTCCTTAAGGATTTCCTCAGAGAGATGATCGTGAACATTGCCTGTTCTTTTCAAGGACCATTCTCTCCCACATCTAATACCTTCTTACTTTACTGAGAGGTATGAGATAATCATTCTGTCATCTTTCCATTTGGTCTTCCATACTTTAAGATTTGTCTGCTTTTTTTTTTTTTTTATATGATCTTCCTTCTTTCCGTACCATTTGTTGAGTATTTGTTGAGTGTATACCATGTTATGTACTCTTCTAGGTGCTTGGAATAGGCTAGTGAATGAGACACACAAATGTCCCTGCCCTCACTGAGTTTACAGAATAATTTGCATTTATATTCTTAATCTTATTTTTGTTCTTAAGCCCATCTCCTAGTGTTTTCTTTGGCAAATGCCTCTTGAACGTTTAAGCTTTCTATATGATTTTTTAAAAGTATAATCATAACTGCTTATTCAAATATAATTTTCTTGTAATCAGACGACCTGAAAACCATCATGCTCTCTTATTTTTTCCCTCCATTGTTTAAGAGTAGTCCACAGTTCGTGTCTCCCCTTCATTCTTTAACCTCTTGTAATCCAGTGGCTTACCTTAAAAGTTTGTGGAAGTTTCCCTTGGGAAAATATACTCACATAATCATCTTCCTTTGCTTCCATGGCTACCATCCTACGCCAGTCTGGGACATTGCAGTTCTTTCCTACCTGGTCTCTTTGGCAATAATGACTTCAATCTTTAAATCAACCTTGTAAGCTATTGGTCAAATATTTCTTGTGTTGGGAGGTCCCCAAGACCAACCCCAGGTTCGAGGATTCACCAGGAGGAGTCACAGACTTCAGCATATATAAGTACTCAATGTACATGATTATATTGAAAGTATACAAAGCAAAGTGAATAAAGGGAAAAGGCACATGGGGCAAAATCTTGGGGAAAGCAGGCACAGCCTTCCAGAATTTTTTTCCCAGTGTGAAGGCACAATAGGACACAATTCTTCTAGCAAGGAGTTGTGACAATATGTGTAAGATGTTGCCAACCAAGGCAGCACACTAGAGACTCAGTGACCAGAGTTTTCATTGGGGGATGGTTACACAGGCATCCTCTGCTTGGCACATATCCAAATTCCAGATTCCCAGAGGGAAAGCAGGTGTTTAACATAGGCCATACCGTGTATACAAAAAGTTTAGCTACCGTGAAATAGCCTCCTTAGTTATAGAATGGTGGGAACCCTTCCAAAGTCTAACTTCCCACGTGCCAGCCCAGGGCTGGCTTTGCAAACAGGCCTTTCTAAGGATAGGCATTCAGGCCTGCTACGATAACTTGTTTTGTTTTGTTTTGTTTCATTTTGGTTTTTTTGTGCACTTCTCCTGAAGTATAGCTCTGATACTCATTCATTCATGAAATATTTATTGAACATCTACAATGCATTGGGCACTGTGTACTAGAGAGTACTAGAGATACAGTGGTGAATAAAATAGATAAAATCTGTCTTATGTTGCTTTTGTTCTAGAAAGGGAGATAGTTTTAAAAATGTTACATGGTAATCATGGCTATGAAAGAAAATAAAGCAGTTTGATGAGATAAAGAGCAATGGGATGGGGTGAACACTTTATTAGATGGGAAGGCCTAGCTGAAGAGATGAGATTTTAGTAGAGACTAAAAAGAGCATCCAGGCAAAGGCAACAGCAAGCGAAAGGTGTGGACGTGAAATGAGGTATATTTCAGAACCAGCGAGAAGATTAATATAGATGGGGTGGAATGTGGAAGGTAGAGAAGATAAGAAGAGTTTAGAGAAATAGGCAGAAACCAGATTATGTGGGCTGTCTTCAGAGGCCATGGTAGGAGTTTGAATTTCATTCTAAATATGATAGAAATTTCTCCAAGCATTTTGAGCGGGGAGTGACATAACCCAATTTATATTTAAGATGATCATAGTAGTTGCTGTGTCAGAAACTAGGGCAGAAGGGTAAGAGG